ACACATGGACACATTCTCAACAAAGTAACGACATGACTCCCAATATTAATTGAAATGCTTTTATGGATTTAGAAAATGATTTTATTGACTTAAAAAATAGTTTTATGTATTGATTTAAATTGACAAGCATCCGCTAAGAAAAGTAGTCCGTTGTTACTGTTTGAACTAACGTAGCAACGGCAGGAACTGCTTCGATAGTGTTTTTGAGGAGCTTTTTGATTACAGATTTGAAAACATCGTTGCTTGCTTTAAAAGTAGCACACTTCATGATGTCAGACCTTGGGAAGTATCTAGATATCCCTGCCCTAATGCCAAAGTAACTGCCAACTGAATATGTGTCGCCGTTTGATGTCTATGTCTGGACCGCTGCGTAAAAAGGAGGGTTTCTGCCCCATTACTTCTCTTCTTACTTCTATAAGAATAAAACACGGAGGACGGAGATCTCTTTTCCTCCCCCTCTACAGACCGCCCAGCAGCTGATCTCAGAGCACGCTCCCCTCTCCTGCAGGGGGGCGTGGTCAGCCCCCTGCAAAAACAGCGCTGGAAAAAGCAAATGGAGCTAAATGAGGCATGGCTAAAATGCAAGATATTTTTGGTATTTTGAAAAAACAAAACAATTTATATACTTTTATATAGGTCGATACAGTAGCCCCTTTTTAAAAAAAATAGTTTGTATAGGTGTTGCTATCTGTTTTGTGTAGCGTGGTTCTACAAGCAAGTCAATGCATTCATTGGGTGGTATCAGAGATTTACACGGGTCTGTAAATGCAATGAAAACAATTGGCCACAGCAAATCATTTATATTAAACTTTATTTACTTTATTTACTCTTGAATACTTCAGTACAAAGGATGTATTGAATAATTTAAGTGATATATGTGTACACAGAGCTGCAGATCGGGTAGTCACAGGCAATGTGGCTGAGTTTTGTGCGCGTTCTGGAAAGTGAGAGAGTAAGCTACTACGGAGTCCCTTAAAGCAAAACAAATCTGCGGAGTCTAGAAATGTTTTTAAATCGCGATTTTTCGGTTCAGCCATTTCACAAACCGTAGGAAAGTAAAAATGCAAATTAATCGTTAAAACCGAAAAAATCGCCCAGCCCTACTTTAAACTAACTGCAGTCCGTTTACTGACAACAAGGTTTCAACTTAGCTGGATGCCTTTGAGCTTGTTTCAATAAGCTGATTCAAGTTTAACTGGGGTCAGTCACCATGGTAAACCTGCACAGCTAGCCTGCTCTGAAGAAGGGTCAGTTAACCAATACGTTGTTCAAACCCTGTCATGAATGTCCAGTATCTTACTAACTGAAATTATTATAAGAACTTCATATGCATTGCACTGTCATTACAGACAAGATACTTGACAGTGGTTACCACAATATTAATAACGTCCACACTCTTATTCTAGGTTTTCTGCCAATGTATTGCAATTCCCGCTGGGCCTAAGCATCAGGGAATACAAAAAGGAAAATGTTTTTAAGTTGTTTTCTATCCAAAATGTGTTTCAAGTAGCAAACGTCTTCGAGAGTTAACTTTAACATGTTACCAAGTGTGCAGTAGGAAAGCAAGCGTGTGTGACATCAAATAGGAAATTAGTACTAAGGTTATTGCTGTGAACGTGGCAGTGGCAGTGTGTTTAAGGTTTATTTGTACATGAAACATGCTAAGCTAAGTCCCTGTGTCTTGCTTGCCACCTTATGATAAAATTGAATCCGGGAAGCTACTGACCACTTTACCTCAAGCTTATGTAAGAAGGGTGGACCTTTTTAAGGTGGACCAGCTCATTTAAGTGACAAGCTGTTCTGAATTATAAAAGATTGTTTATATTTCCCCTCTAGTTTAGTAGCAGAATCAGTCGTACTGGCAACCGCTGGCAACACACGCTTGCGGAGTATGACGCACATCAAAACACTGGCACCCATTGTTTCCTGTGTCGCTCCACACAATGGTGGCATCTTGATGCCTGACAGCGGCAAGTCAATGCGCGAGGACACATTACCATCTTGTTGCCAGGCGCTAACACTCCAGAATCCAGGCTGAAAAACAAGGTTAATGGGGAAAAAGACATGCAGAGACTCGAGATAGACAAAGGATTTATGGTTTGCTTTTGCAGTACTTATTTAGGGGCCATTTTTTATTTATCTTTGTATTGACCACTTCATAAGTAGAAGTGCCTCATTGATGTTAAACAGTTGCTATAATATCAAGATGAGAAAAATCTCATCTTGTCCTTGTTTTAGATGTTGTTACTATGCAAGGACAAGTACTTGAAGTGGTTGCCTGTTATAAATACCTAGGTATCTGGCTTGATGATTGTCTTACTTTTAAACTTCATGTCAATAACCTGCTTAGAAAGCTAAGGGTGAAGCTAGGTTTCTTTTTCAGAAACAAGTCCTGTTTCTCGCTTGAGGCCAGGAAAAGGCTATTCTCTGTGACCTTTTTACCTGTGCTGGACTATGGTGATTTGTTGTATATGAATGCACCTGCCCATTGCCTGAACAAGTTAGATGCCGCCTATCACAGCGCACTGAGATTTGTCACAAAAACATCACTGTACCCTGTATGCCAAGGCAGGTTTGCCATCACTTACTGTAAAGAGGCTCAGTCATTGGTACATGTTTATTTTAGGGCTGTCAAACGATTAACATTTTTAATCAGATTAACCACAGTTTAAAAATTAATTAATCATGATTAATCACCATTCGAACTATGTCCAAAATATGCCATTTCTTTATGTATATTGTTGTGGGAATGGAAAGATAAATGAAAGAAGGCGGATATATCCATTTAACATACGTATGTATGTTTATTATAACATGTGTGTCAAAATGAAAGACAGCACACACCTATCAATCATCAAACCGTGGAGTCTTAATTCATTACGTGGTGTTTTCTATCAACGGGGAGTACTTCAGGAAAGTCGACGGGGGGGGGCTAGTGGAGTACTTCGTGACCACAGAGTGTGAACGTTGTGATCAGCTGTTTTAGCGCAGTTCTCCAGTGAAGGGGGGGAGTCTCCCTCCGCAGCCGGTTGGCGTAGTTTTGGCACAATTCCGTTGTACAGACCGACGTTAACAGCAGCCCTGTCTGTGCACACGGAGACCGACTCTGTCGTCCGGTGATCTAACCGCCTTCTGGAAAAGCTTCACAAGTACGTCGGTACGCAAATGTGCTTTGTGACACAAGTGACGGTACGCATTTCAGATTACGCACATAACCTGCTTACCAGTTATGTGCACCCCTGTACTACAGCAAATGTATTCTCCGTCGGGACTTCCTGCAACAACACCACGCCGTTATCTTGATTCTGATTGGCCAGAAGACATTATCAAAGATGTTCTATTGAGAAGACGATCACTACGTGACAAAAGTTTTCAAAACCGTTTCTGGTCTTCGGTATTTCCAGACAAGTGGCTACTGAAATCAATCTTACTAACTGCTGTCTGTGCAATTTACTCCGCGCGAGTTGGCGGACTTTATTTTGCTTACTTTAACATCATTTTTCATGGTGGGGCTAAGCCATTTCTTGGTATGGGTGTAGCCTACCCAGCCATACCCTGGCGCTGCCACTGGTGGGATGTATGGAGCGGGCCATTCTGCACATGCGTTAAATATTTTAACGCAATTAATTCAAAAAATTAATTACCGCCGTTAACGCGATAATTTTGACAGCATTAGTTTATTTATAAAGCTTTGTTGGGAAAACTCCCGTATTATATCTGCTCTCTGATAACACAGAGAGTTGCAAGCAGCTATTGTCTGAGATCGCATGATGTAGTATTGTTAGATGTGCCAAGAGCAAGGACTGTCTTAGGTAAGACAGCTTTTATGTGCGCAGCTCCACTTGCTTGGAACAATCTTCAGCAAGAATTGAAACCGAGCAATCTCATTCCTCTGCATGTTTTTAAAGCTAGGCTAAATGAAATGCTCGTTGATACTATGGGCACTTGTAAATGTCTATAACTATGTAAATGTATCCTGTAAATATAATGTATGATGTCCTTTATTGTTTTATGTTTCATGTGGAACCTATATGCTGCAGGTCTCCCTTGAAAAAGAGATCTATGATCTCAAGGGACCAATCTGATTAAATAAAGGTTTGAAATGAAATGAAAAAATGAGTGCCAAGACAGTAGAAAAGAACATACACTCAGTAGAATTTTGTTTTGCAGGTATATAAAGAGACTTTAAGAGTCATCCTATCATAACAACCTAATGAGGCTGTCCAACAACATCATCTCTGACCCAAACCATGTTCTGAACAGCAAATATGGACTGCTACCATTTTATCAAAGACACAGGGTCCCACGATTCAATAAAGTCAGGCTGAAGCACTCCTTTGTGCATCAGTCAATGTTAATAGTAAATACAGAGCTAAATCCCAGATCAAATACATGCTAAAGGGTCTTTGAGCATGTTTCTATCAGTGATTTTTCATGTATTGTGTCTTGATATTTATCCATGTTGATGTTGGAAATGGAGCTGCTGTGATGCAAGTCAACTTTCAGACTTGACCTGACCATTGAGGTATTATCGTATCATATATCTTAGTAGCTTTAGTAAAGAGAGGTAGTTGGTTCAGTTTTTCTATTTTCATTGAAATAATGAATTAATTGAAATCCACCAAAGTTTCAATAGTTATTATCCCTTCGACTCTCCCTTAGATTGGTATTCCACAAGCAAGCATGTACCTCTATTGAGAGAGAGAGGACATACTAGAACAGCTAAAGCACAGGGTAAAGAAACGTATCACACACTTCAGTTTCTGTTATCATCCTGCATCTGCAATCCGTCTAGAAATAGTTTGCACTCTCACCTGAATCGACAAGCTTGCAAAAGATGTAAGAGGTCTGTCGCATACTGTATGAATGAGGATCATTGAAAGGAAGAGGGTGCAATTTTATTTATGACGAACAGTAAATACGACTATAAAGACAGCAAAAAAGAGGCAGTCATAAACAAATAATAAATGTAATCACACCTCTCCTTTTTCTCTCCATAGTAACAGGACTATGGACCTGAGCCTGCGAGATGCTCTGGGTGGGGGTGGAGGTGGAGTCCCAGGTGGGGCCCCTGCTGAGGCCCTAATGAAGAGGGACTTTGTCGCTTCACTGGAGAAAGAGAGCTATGATGACAAGGTGGGAGAGACGGTCTCCAAGAGCGACTACCGACCCTTACTGGATGGAAAGGACACCAAGAGTGGTGAGTCGCTGTGAGCGTTTAAGCAAAGATGTGAAGAGGAAGTGATGCTTTTCATGGATGTGATGTTGATCCCTCTAGGGACGTCCTCTTTTCAGGAGGGAGTGAGAGTTGAGTTGGCTTGTGGGCATTTACAAGAGTCAAGGTTTTTAATGTAAGTCGTCTGGGTAAAATAAAACTGTATTGCACTGTTTGTGTCCTAAGCTCTCTTAAAGGATAAAACCATGTCTTATGAATTCAAAAATATAACTAATGTAATACACCTTAGTTTATGTATATATTTTTAAATATTTTTATGATTCAAATTGAAGCAGCAGAGATAAATACATTCTGATCCTTTCATCTATCGAAAGGTTCAACTTTCAAAACCCCATTACAGCACAATAACAACATCTTTTCATTAAAAAGCTTGCTGTATAAAATATATTGTGGTCTCCAAGGCTCAGCTGGGATAACCCTGATAACATCACTACAAACTCATATTGGTTATTTCTCAGACTCAAGAAAGTGTATCTAGAGCCATTCAAAGATTATGAAACTGTTTTGATATCCACATAGAGTGGCGCAGGGATGACTTATTTACCCGGAAGTAAGCTGCGCATGGGTTTCCTCGACAAAAAAGCAATGGGATTTCTCCACAGGATTTTGGAAAATAGCTCGAAATAAGGTCTGTGGAAAACGAACCTGATAAATGCACGTTTTGTTCAGCCGGATAATATCCACATGTCTACCCTACTTATAATTTTCGAATCATAAATCTAATCGCCAGAAGCAAAATGCTAACGTTATGCTATAAACGAAATACAGCAGGGTCGCTGCTTCAACGTCACTCCAACTTAAGATCGATATTCAAAAATACAGATTCAAAATTGTACAAGTTAAAGCGTTTGTTTTAACAGTTTGCAAGAGCGCAGGTACTTGCTTTCAAGCAGAACAGGGCAAACAAACTTAGCGGGAGTGTTTTACGTGTTCGGTGTAATGACGTAAAACGGCCTGGACATCTTCTGTAGTCCTATTCAGCCACTTGTTAACAACCATCGTTTTTCAGACACGTAAACTCTTCAGAAATCACCAGTGGGGTCACTGCTGATGTATTTAATGTCTTAGAACAAAACGTGATCCGTCTCTTAAATTTGTGTCAACCACAGACCTTATTTCCAGCTATTTTCCAAAATCTTATGGAGAAATCCCATTGACTCTGAGACGTGGTAAAATGCTAACTCACTTCCGGGTTTTAGGACTCGTCACTGCACCACTCTATTGCTCGAGATGAGTCAACAGACTTCTCTTGAGGCTCTTTTTTGAAGGAATAAAGTAGTAATTTCATAGGTTTTTTACATTTTGTCTTGTTTTCTGTCGGCAGCATTCGGGAAATATGTGTTTGTCAGAAGTGTAAAATGTGAAGAGTCATCTTACCAGTTTGACAGGAACGTTATCATTGGCTCAGGGAGAATTTGGCAAAATCTGATTGGTTTAGCTTGAAAGAGTAAACACCCATCAGTTGATTAGATAAAAACAAGAGACATATAATGAGTCTTTATTACTGAACTTTTACTAAGCTTCATTAGTTGCTTGTAAAAGTGCCTGACATGTTGTAGCTTTATAAAATAAGCTCTGCATAAACATTCTGACTTTTACAGATGAAGTGAACAAAAGATGGATGACTGGTAGAAATAAAGTGTAGAGCTGGGAGATTAGGAAATAAGCAATAAAGATAAGAGACTACTGGAGGATTTGAGGAAAGGAGAGCAGTCCAGAGCTGGGGAGTTAAATAGAGCAGACACAAAAGCCCTGTAGAGACACAGAGACATGGATTAATATATAGAGGGGGCTTTGTTCGAACCTCAAGGGAGGGGGGTCATTTGTACCAACAAGGAACAACACTAGTTTTTATTTTCTATTGAGAGAATGATGAAATGTAGTTGCTTTCTTTCCTCTGTGGGCTGGTACCCTTGAGTAAAGTCCCCTTTGAATCGCTTTATTAATTAAATGGCCAACTTTTTAAAATATTAAAACACGAAAGCAAGCTGGAGATGATAATAAATTAGTGTTTTTTTGTCACATCTGAAAACATATCTCCCTCTTAATTGTTGTAATAAGTGACTAGCAAACCTTTTAGCTTTGTGAGCTAACGTTAGCTCAGAAAAGCTTTCAAACATATCGTCAGCATTGGGATACTTCACTTTAGTAACCCCCTTCAATCATAGAGCCGTTGGTTGTAAGGAAATGAGCAAAATATGAGCATAACCTGGCAAAACTAATCGAATAATCTTGATTATCTTGTTTTCATCCTTTTTGGAGGCCAAAATTGTACATGAAATTAAAATTCCATTCATTTCCCAGCCCTGCTTTGACCAAAGGACAGTTGTTATTGTTAACAATTGTACTAATGCAGTGATCATTTATTGATTCTGAGTTTAATACGCGCTGCAATACAATGGCTTTCTCCTCAGATGTTATACCGTAGAAACAAGATTTGTTAATAATTAATGTTGTTTTCAACGTGTGTGTGTGTGTGTGTGTGTGTGTGTGTGTGTGTGTGTGTGTGTGTGTGTGTGTGTGTGTGTGTGGTGTGTGTGTGTGTGTGTGTGTGTGTGTGTGTGTGTGGTGTGTGTGGTGTGTGTGTGTGTGTGTGTGTGTGTGTGTGTGTGTGTGTGTGTGTGTGTGTGTGTGTGTGTGTGTGTGTGTGTGTGTGTGTGTGTGTGGTGTGTTGTGTGTGTGGTGTGTGTGTGTGTGTGTGTGTGTGTGTGTGTGTGTGTGTGTGTGTGTGTGTGTGTGTGTGTGTGTGTGTGTGTGTGTGTGTGTGTGTGTGTGTGTCAAAGATAAAGTGTAATTGCCTTGTCACTTTGGCCAACCCTGTCTAGACTTAAATTAACTGAGTGTCTCACTACGTCGCTATTTCTCCTGTGTTTTTCTTGTGTTGTTCAGGCCTTATCTTGACTCATTATATCTTTATTGCTTTTTATTTTGGTCTCACTTCTATTCGCTGATGTGGTCTTTCTATCTCTCTGTCATTGTTGCGCTGTGTCAGCCTGGAGACAGTGCTGTATAAGCATCATTACCATCAACACACACAAACACACACAATCAGCTCCCAGCCAGTGGCACAGTGTGGTACAATGAGTTGAATGTGAGACTGTATTTAGCTGTCAGTTTTGAAATAACAACAAGCTTAAGGGAACAACATTTTGATAGCACTTGTAGCTAAGTTAATATTTGTGGGATTCACTGGGAAGATACCCTGACTTTAAGTCCTTTTTATCGGTCAAGATCCAAAAACACTGGACCAATGTTATACACAATATAGAAAACTCCATCCAAAGACATTACATGACATTTGATAAAGGGTGAGTAATACTCCTAAAGATGAGGAAACTTAACTTATGATTAAAATGCTCAAGAAGCAGTTGTAAATTCAATTATTATAACTTTCCAGTATTTTGAAACATTAATGTGACATTTAAAGACGTTGCTTATCAGAATTTCATGTATACATTACCAATTCCAGATTCATCATGGTAATAAATTGGCAGGGCTGGCTGTTGATTAGTTTGATATATTGCTGTTAAATGGAGGTGGCACATCGGCCAGAAGTGCGTGCATTATTTCTGAATCCTTTATGATAAACCACCAGCCTGTCCTATCCTCTCTCACATGCAATGTGTGACATACCCATGCCCTGCTGGTATGATGATGATCACCATAAGCAGGCACACATCCTCTGGCTGTTTGTGCGTTTGTGTGACTATATAAAATACTGGTAACTATATTGGTCTTTTGGCTACATTTTGTAAGTGCCATATGGGTGTTAGAGACACTGTGTGTGGACAACAGATTTTTTACCACCAGGCTTCACAAATGTTTTCATATCATAGGCTGTCAATCAGATTCCTGATGCACCACAGACCCTCATGTGATAGGATATTCACCTTGATGTGGGACCCCTCAAGGATAAATTCTAGGCCCATTGGGTTTCTCATTATATATTGTTTCTGATGTCCTTGATCTTTTCAACTTTCTACTGATTGATAACCTTTGACTCTTTCTATTTGATGCTAGAAAAGGTTCAACAGAGTCCCTCTGTGGTGCTCTTGATGGTCCTTGTTAATTTAGCCATGTCTGTCCTTGTCATAATGTCTTAAAGTAATGTCACTTGAGTCAGCGTTGGTTAGTGCTGAAGACTACAGCTTTGAGAGATGAAAAAAGACTGGAGGTGTGTAGCTCGGACCTCATCCCTGTCTCAGGCTAGAGGCTTAAGGCAACCATATTAATTAATAGCTTAATTCACCTGAATATCCAACCAGAGTGTCTGGAGTCATCGTGATATCATTGTGATGACTAATACATTGCACAAGCAACGAGGGATGGAACCCAATGCAGACAAACATGGCAACAGGGACATTTCAATGATTCATTGCCAAAGGAAAGGTATATAATTTATTTGAGAAATAAAGGCTTACATGCAGGTACTACCTCCGGGACTGGGTCAGAATAGGGTCCTGGAGGCTTGAAAGAACAACGGTGCTACTTTGACTCAGGGAATGAGTGGAAATGGGCAGGTTATATACTGGAGGCCTGGTCTCCTAAAAGTTACTTTCCCATAAAAAGACATGCCAAATACGTTTTGGAGGAACATATTCTCTCTGTAGAGGGGTGACAGGGAGGCAGGATTTGGCAGTGTGTAAGGACGGACAGGGTGACAATAATGTCTTATGAGTTCCATGAGAAATGTTATCTGTTAATATCAAATATTTTTGACATAACTTGCTAGATTGACATATTGGCCTATTCATTCTGATGGTCAGGGTACATGTCAGAACCAGTACCAATCAATGAGATCTATTGTTTGAGACAAGGGAGGATCACCCATCTCTATCACCCTTAGTAAAACAGCTAAGCCTCTGCTTTATTTGTTCATAAATCCCAGACACTATTTCTTTTTATTTTCACATCATCTGTCTTTTTATTTTGTGTTGTTTTTCTTATTCATGGTAATCTCCAAC